AGGCAAAGGCATTTCATAGAAGTGGGATTGGGGGGTGATGGGGGCTGCACGAGGAAAGTGTTTCCAGGAAAACGTAGAGAAGAGAAGTATCCCCTGGGAATCCCTGGAAATGGTTGGGCCAGTTTGGAAAAACCATTGTTTTTTTTTAAGGTTTAGGTATGGCAATGTGGTCTCCCTGATCCTTTAGGTATGGAATCTGGAATTCCATTTCACAGAAATAATCAATCTGATTCAGCACCGAGACCAACCCATAAATCTAGACCTTTGATCATCTGGAATGTCATTTCATAGTAACACATGGTTTTCCATTTTATAGAGTTTTGATCCTTTACAAGTCATTTCATTGCCACCATTTCTTTGTAGAATGCCCTGTAAAGCATCAGACCCATCAATCACCGGGGACAAATTGAAATTGAATTCAAGCATTTTTATGAATTATAATTAAACAACCTTGCTAGAAGAAAGTTGCATTATCATTATCACATGGTCGTGGTCGTCATCATCATCATCAGCAGCAGCAGCAGCAATCACCATTCATCCTCCTTCCCCTCCAACAAACAAAGATATCTGAAATACTCACCCCAGCCCGAGAAAATGTGTCACCAGGAAAGCATCCACCCTCCACCCAAGCTCCAAAACCCTGCAAGTTCCATCCTCCTAACACAGTAACAAGAGATCACAAGAGGACATTGAAGAGAGAGTCAACTGAAACGTAATTAACTTATATCAGACAATTCGTGGATAGACATCTATCATCTATTGTTTATCCAAAGAGTCTGGTTGATGGCCCTCGCGTCTTGTGCACACCTCGTCCGTCCGAGGCCTGGAAGAGGCCCTGGCGGCCGCCGAGGAACGCGAGCGCAAGGAGGCGGAGGTGCGGTCGGACAGGCGACCGAGAAGGTGCGGTTGGTGGAGTTGAATAGGGTATTGTTCAGCAACTGCGGTTCAGCAACTGCTTTTGTCGGTTTCGTTTGTCGGTTTCAGCAACAGTCCTTGTTCGTTTTGCGAGTTGCCGAAACCCACGTTTGAGTTTCTGAACCACAGTTTCTGAAACCCACGCCGCACGCCTGCAGTTGCCGAACCACAGTTTCCGAACATAATTGGCGAGTTGCCGAAACCCTCCTCTCCGGTTTCCGAAACCCACGCCTTAGTTTCCGAAACCAACCTCATAGTTCCCGAACACCACGCTGACCTAGTGGAGTTAATTAGTTGTTTGGAAGGTGTTCCAAGAGGGAAGGCGATTGGGGTGGATTTGGATTTGAGTCTTTTTCTTTTCCTGGCTCATCAACTGTATCAGTGACTTACAGTATAAGAGTTTGTTGGTTCATCCACAAAGTACTACACTGCAACACACACACACAGAGGTGGCGGGTAATTTTGAGAATTATAAGAAATTGCTTGCAACAGCCACGTTTGACATTTATATTGCTCCCATGTTTGCCTTTCCCAAGACGTCTAATACTGCCATGATACTGCAATAATAGGCAGATTAAAACATTGTAATTACCATTGTTGTCAATGATCATCCAGCCAAAAACTCATATGGAAGGGGTAACTGTTATATATTTGTGCTTATATATACTATAGCTTTATTAAACATGTAGGCCTGGCATGGCCTAACATCATTGTGTAACACATATTATGTGGCCATATTACGTGATTGGATGTGATTGGTTTCAAATCAAGGCCACAAATGTAGGCCCTTCAGCTGCAGCTGCTTCCCTGTGACGCTCTGAGCTCGCCAGGCAGCGGCTAAACTCGCCGCCAAACACTCCTCCGAGGATTCACTTCTGGTGAATAAGCACGGGCGCCCGAGTTTGCCGACGTCGACAGACCACAGGGTCCGTTGAAAGGTGCCCTTTTCTTATTCCGTCTACCACTTATCCTGGATCTTCCAACTGTGCACATTTGTTTGCCTTTGTTGTCTGTAAAACCGGCCAAGTTCGGCAGACCTGTCGCAAGTTCAAAGGACATAGGATGAAATCGGATACTATACATGATGCGAACAGCTCAACGAAGAACTTCCGCGTGCAGCTGGCGCTCTGTTGAGGCAGTGCATTTTGGTCCTGGCTCAGAACTTCACCGCCAAGCGCGTGAGGACCAGTGAATGGAAGGCACCGGCGTGCCCGCGCGTGGCGCCCGTGGCGCGCGCTTACTTTGGCCGAGATGGGATGGATGTTCGTTTCCTATGTTATCCTATTTTGCTGGATGATCTGGATGTATGGATGGATGTTCATGAAGGAATGCATTACTAATGGATGTTCTATTTTGCTGGATGGATTCGGATGGCGCCGCAAAGGACGCAAACGCCGTTCTGTTCTGTGTTCAGGCCGCTGTTGGTCAGACCCGGTATCCTGAAAGCTGCGGCTTCCAGCAGTGTAGAGTTCATTGGAGTAGGGGCCTCAAAACCCAGATGCGAACATGAAGATACCAGGCCAGCGAAAAGGTTCGCTGTTCCGCTCGGCCGGCTGCCGCTGCTCGGTGAGAAAGGCGCGGCGCCGTGGTACTGCCTTGAGCTCCAACAAAGCGCTGGTGAAGGCGAGTGTCCTCTTGTTTCGCGAGACCGGCATGTGGGGAGCATCGGTGGATGTGTATTAGAATAGGGGGACCACCATCAAGTATATCCAAAGCTCCAAAGCTAGGCAAGGACCGAGCCTCGCCAAGGCGAAAGTGTTCAAGTTTGGGACTTTCACAATGGATTTCAATGCCTTCATGGGGTGCTAAAATGCATGGACCTTTGTTTCATCTACTTTGCCTGGGGCCATGGGTTTCCCATGGGTGAAACCCATGGTGAAACTCCTCAGAAATGGGGGGTCCGGGGTCCTAGATTTGGAGGCTAAATCCATTCGGAGATCAATATCCTTACAGTGGGTTGAGAGTAGATGGCACAATCCCCAAAAGGTGGTTTATATGGACCCCTATATAAAGGTCATCTTGGGGTTTGTGCCATCTACTCTCAATCCACTGTAACTCTATAGGCTTTATGAATAACATAAGTTTCAACACGTTGGATGGTGGAGCATTGACTTGTTGCCGCAGTCAGGATGGTGGAGCATTGTCACGTCGCTGCTTGACGAGAGATCCCAGGGCCCAAATGAAATACTTGAAGACTCATGTTGAACAAGTGCCCCCCAAGTAGAGGATGGAAGAAAGATCACACCATTTGAATGTGCTTTAAAGGCTTTCATGATGCGCTCTCTAAACCTCAGCCCCCCAAACAAGGGGCCATGCAGACATCCAAAGACATCCCAAACACCCTCAGATTTCTCAAAACTCCGGTTCCCGGCAGGCGAATGCTAAGAAAGGCAAGGAAGAGGAAGATGGAGAGGAGCTAATTCCGATTCAAGTGATCTATCATCATTTCCAAATAAGCTTAGAGTCTCAGTCTGAGGTCAAAAGGATGGCGGTCCTCCGTTGCAAAGACTCGACCCTACACATGTCAGGCAATATCCAGAACGAGAACGTCCCAGAAATATAATTGCAATTAATTGCACATTTTGTTGCTTGGTTTCGAGATTTTGTGGATTTTCCAGCTCTCGTGTGGATTGACTCCATTGTTGTTCAAATGCGGGTGGGCAACACATAAACTTAAACAACCACCAATGATGACTCAAATACAATACCATACGTACAATATATACAATACCCTTTGACTCACTCACCTTGGAAGTGATAAATTGGTTCCTTCGAAGACTACTTTCCTTTACAAACATGATCAAACAGGGGGTGAACTCCACTTTCATGTTCGTGAGTCGGAGTGTATACATCAATAATGCATCAATACCTATACTGTAACATCCTTGTGCTTCGTTTTTCTGGTCCTTGCGGATCATTATGTCTCTCCGTTGACAGAACGTTCCTGCCTTCAAAGTTCAAAGACTCCAGAATCAGGTGATTGGGTGGCCAGCATGAACCGGCTTGGTTTGTCAGGAAGAAAAACGGAAGCAAAACGTCAGAAAAACGGGCTGCACGCTGCAACGAAAACATGCTGCAACGCACCAAAAAGGTGGTGCTGCACCACGGCTTCCCGTGGCAATCGTGGCTGATCGGCAGGACCGGACCTGCTGATCGGCTAAGTGCAAATACCAGAACTGGTGGCGACAGAACGTCGCACCCAGACCAAAAGTAGACATGGCGACCCCCCAAATCGCCTCTGGTTTCTGGCCACCTTTGGCCGTTCTCATTGGGCCTCGTCCTCTTCAGGAGGATGCTGAAGAGGAGAGCCCCGAGGTGAAGAACGAGTTCTTTTTTCCAACTGCATGAAGCAGAGAGTGACCGAGTTTGATTCAGCTGCAGATTTGACGCACCCACCCTGAATCATCCTGAATCCAGGCTAGATTCCTTGAAATTGTGATGGCTCATGCTCTATGGTGAAGACTTAAGGAGCACATATTTGGGTGCTGAAGCTATCTTCCACTGCCATCCACCATCAATAGTCATATATGATTGACTTGATGTACAGCTCCACAAATGTGTTCTTGTTTGCGAGGAAGACAGAGGTGATTCTTCAACATTCATAAGGGCCTCATTATCCTCTATCTGGGAGTTTGCGTTTTAGCCTGCTGGCTCTAACTATTGGCCAAACCAACTGCAAAGAAACATTTGCTCCAGTAGTTCATCACGTGTGAGAGCATGTACTGAATATTCAAACTTGCTGTGACTCAGTTATACTACCTTACACTGCGGTTTCGGTACTTGATCTTGGACTTAGATCCGCATGCTACGCAAGCCTTTGCCTATAGCCGGCTCGGGATATCAACGGAACAGGGCTTGGGTGTTTTGCTTTGACTCCACACTGGCTCACGCCAAACCTTTTTAGATCACCCACAGGCATGTTGGCGATATTGGTACCCTTCGATCACCGACTTAGCAACTTAGCGTGGTGTTGCTTCGATCATCGGGCCTCGGGCATGATTTCACCGACTTGCCCGGAAAAAAGCGAATACCTTTGATGCTATTCTGAATCTAAGACAGAGTATTCGGAGTTGGGGGTGATCCAGAACATGTGTCAATAGATCTATAAGATAAATGGTTTTCTGGTGTTTTGTCCTCATTTTAGAGAGATGGGCGGTTATATAGGGCCCAGTCAGTGGATTGTACCCCGTCAGTGGATCGTTGTCGATGCGTCGTCGATGGAACCTGAGAGGCCTTGGCTGGGGTCTTTTGCTGCCGGGGGTCCTCATGTGGCGCGCTTTTTCGAGCTCAGGGAGTGTACACGCTGGGAGCGTTTACTTGGTCAGAGCGACGTCGTAGCAGATAGGAATGGTGTTGCTCCGTTTGATCATGAGTCCGTTTGATCTACACTCCGGGAATCATCATGGTCTGAACTTGGGGCCATTTGCGTCGCATGCCCATGAGTGTTATTCGGGGGTATGCGACGCACAGTGACTCCTTGGGTCCGGGAGCCGAAAGAAACGATATATTCCTCACCACTGGGCACTCTTGAGGTCTTCAAGCATTATGTGACTACAGAGATCAGACTCCATGTAAATAGTCATGGACCAACTCCCATGCCTTGCGCACCAACCGCTCGTGTCATCCATGTCGAACCCCGTCGGGGCGCCCGGTGTCGGTGTCCGACGTGGACGAGATCGATGGGGATCAGCTGAGGTCATGATTTCGATGCCTTGCTGGTGTTCTCCGAACGGGGCTTTGTTTATATCCTCCAGGTGGGGAGAGTCGGAGAGTCTATTCAGGGCATGGTCAGGCATCGTCAGCCGTGTGAAGTTTATTTTGCAGAAGATACTCAGAGGCTTTGGGCTTTGAGATGTAAAGACATGTAATATAGATACTACGCACGTTGGCGTCCCACAAACTACTGGTATGGATAGATTTTTGTGATTAACGGGTGGTGATGTCCTGTGATGCTTGAAACACAATGGTCCACAAGCCCACAAGTAAAACCAGCTGCACTTCCTTGCGTATGACCCGACAAATCTCATGGATCATCCAATACGACCGGCCGGAGGTCTTTTACTGCGACCGGCCAGGCCTTAGACGTGCCCCTGGTGAAGAAGTCCTTTTGCAAAGGCACCGAGTTGAAGGCTCCGCAGATGTCTTCCAAGCTTCGCCGCTGGAAGTTTGGACGGTTTTCCGACGTTCAATGGTGGTGAACACCTATTCAATAGGATCCAGTGCACACAAACATCAAAGCATCCACCTGCCAATCAGTTAGGCTGACCAGTGAGCCTCAGCTGATTGATGTTTCCCACACTACTGTTAACATAATGCAAGCACATGCAGCAGGTCCATTTCACAGCTGCTTCACAGAAACATGGCTGCAAAGCCTCATCCATGTGCTTTAGGATCCTAACCCTCTCTGCTCTAGACCCTGCATTCTTCTTGTCAGGCTTTCCACCATCCTTTCCCTGACCCAATCTAATCCAGCTCCTTAGCAAATTCAAATTCAAACCACCTGTATAGCAACCCTGGGGCTGTGACCTGTGCCCTGCTTGTGTGCCACAGTGCCTCCAAGCCACCCCTTGAGAGGCAAAGAATCCAGGTAGTCATCACTCCTCCCTGCTTCTGGACAATTGGTAGAGGTGGACCCAGAGGACCCACTGCTAGACCCCTTTTTATTCGTTCCTTTCTTCTTCTTCTTCTTCTCCTTACCTTTGGTCTTTTTCTGCGTGGCTTTTTTTTTCTTGTGACTGTGCTTCTTAGTCTTCCTGGCAAGAGATAGCTAGCTAGATAGAAAGAAAGAAAGACACACAAAAGAAAAGAAGACATAGACAAAGAGAGAAAGACAGCTAGCTAGCTAGCTAGATAGATCACCAAAACAACTCTGGCACCAACCTGCTGGATTCAGATGAGGGTTCATCCTCACTGGCTGTGTCACCATCAGGCTCTCCACCACCTTACCCAAAGACCCACCCCCAATCACCCCCACAAAACACACCACTCAGCAAATCTTTCATACCTTAGGCAAACACTGTTCACAGAGGATGCTGGCACACCTGTAGTTGATGAGCCAGGTCCTCCCCTCATCATGCTCAGCTGTCCGAAGGACATAGGTGTATGCCATTGCATCCATGGGGGAACTGTTTGTCCCGTCAGCACATGCTCAGGGGGGTGCACATAATCTGCTGGGAGTGATGATTTCCCAGGCACCCCCCTGCGCTTTGAGGATGGCATAGGTGCCAGCTTTACAAGCACCTCTGATCCCTTAATGGCAGCATGTCCCACTCCAATCCCAATTGATTCAAGTGGGTGTTACTTGGGGGTTGTCAAGTATGTTTAATGATTTATCAAGGCCCCACATGAATCAATAAAGACGAAAACAGAAAGCTCACAGCTGCCTGTAGAAGATATTGTTCTTCGTTGAAGAGGTCAGTCTGGTGGAGAATCCCCCAGCCCGACGCAAGTCACGAAGCGCCCCAGGCAGTTCATGGTGTAGATGAAGAGTGGCTGGGATCTCACAGTAGCCAATGACATCTCCTAACACGTTGATGTTGGTTGAAGGAATTCCATAATATAGATTCCATCCTCAGGTGCTGTGTGGGCATTATTGTCTCAGAAGAGACATTAGCGAAGAGCTCATTCCTGTAGTCCTCCCCAAAAAACGAGTTGAAGGCCCACTCCATGACAGTCTTGATGGAATTTAGCAGAACATCGGAAGCAACATCTTGAGGGCATAGACTCTGCAGTGCTTTTCCTGTTGTGAGGCCTTCCTGCCGGAGCTGGAGGGCCGTGTGGCAGCGCTGGTCACGGTGGCACAGGGCCGGCTCAAGGACCAGGCACGATGAATCCAAAGCGAGCAGGGGCATGTTCTAAGAGGTTTGTGGATAGGATGATGATGGATGATGCTAGTGATCATCGCTTTTCAAGGTGCGTGAAAAGCTAGAGTGAGTTCCATGCTATGTGAGGCAAAGGTCCAAGGAAGGATTAAGTAGAAGAAGGTTTGGGCATGTTTGGGCATTCAGTTTGGGCATATGCTTTCCGCGGGAAGGTCGAAGCCTCAGTGATTGTCATCCCATGGTTTCCTGCTCACACGGGTGGTGCGGCTCACTTAGACTGGTTATCACACCAAGAAGTTAGGTTGCAACTAACTAAGGGTAGCGTAGTAGTTATGTGGTGTAGTTTTTTTTTGCCATCTGTGCCATTGAACAACATCTCACTTCATCCGGATATCGCTTGGAAAGAATCTGCAACACGTGCAGCACTAGCACTGGATGGGCCTTTTTGATCAGGAGGACTTCGTGGTCCTTGTCTCCAAGAAGGGCTTTGCCAAGAAGGCCAGGCGCCGAGGATGGATTCTTTCATGGCTTCCTGTGTGCATATGAGACTCTCGGTCCAGCCGACGCTTGTGGCGTCGGCGATGGCAAGCAGACTGCACCCCGAAAGCACCGGGGTTTTTCGCACATCTTCGCCGGCTTGAGCTTCTTGCTGCTGGCAAGCTCTCCAGCTTTCGCCCGTGCGGTTTGACCAGTCTGAGACGATCACAACAACAGATCGGTGTGTTCCAGCTGCGGTTGGTGGCGGCACTCGTTGGATCTTGCAAGGGTTCTTAGCTGGTCGAAAGCACCAAGCAACCCCAGCAAGCAGCACAAAAGCACCAGCACACGCTCAGCACGAAAAAAAGAGTTGGATCTCACTTCAATGGCAACAATCCCAGTATTCATCACCTTTCCATGCAAAACCATTGGACCCTGTTGGACCCTGGACCCAAAGGAACTAACATGAACCATCCAAAACGGCTCGACACAACGGCACACCGCACCACACTGACGAACCGCACCGGAACTGTCGGACCGAGCCGGAACGGCGTGGCAGGTGTCCTTGAGCCGCTTCCGTGCCCTGCGGCCCGGAAAGGGCATGCCAGCGATGAAGCTGGCGCGCGGCGGGAGGGATGGAGGGAGGGTAAGGAGAGGGACAGCTGTGCGGATGGGATGGGGGAAGGGATGGTGAATGGTAGATTTTGCTGGGGGATGCTGTCTTATTTTGTGTGCGTAGTTGGAAGACTTTCATGTTGCCGTGGCAAGAAGCGTGTAGTTGGAAGCTGGCATGTGAGGGACAGCTGGTGGAGGGACGGCATGTGTTGGCCCCAACAGTTACGGGCCGCCCGTGCGGCCCGTGCGTTCATCGCGCTCATCCCTGGCAGTCACAGAGCTCGGGGTGCTGAATGGAGGTAGTCGGGGTGCCCATGATCCATTCACTTAGGGCAGGGACTGAACACCACCCCGTCTGACGTGACTCCTGGTAGGAGTATTAGTATATACATATTAGTACATAATAGTATACTCGACATTAGTACCTTGATAGGATACCTGGTTGATGCTTCACTCCTCCTCAAGACTCTAAGTTGTTTTTTCCCCTTCCCCAGTGTGGACAAGACCTTGAGGGGTTCTTACTCCTCCTCAAGACCTTGTTGGATTTCATTAGTAACATTAGTAACTTGTTTTTCTTTGGCAAGTGGGACTGCCATCGGGTCAGCCCCCCCCCCCCGGGCTGCCAACCCCAGACGGCGGGGCGGCGGATCACGCGACGCCTCGGTGGAGGGAGATTGGTTGGAGCTTCCATGCCACAGATGTGGCGCCATGCCATGCCTTGATGTGGTTTCCACATCGATCTAGTCACGAAAGCTAGCCTTAGCTAGCTGGAGTTGCTCTTGCTTTAGCAAGTTAAGTGACGGGGTGGACGCACCTCAGAAACCTCAAATAATTGATTAAATCAATCTTATGGACCCCCCCCCCCCCCCCCCCCCCCGCGGTTCGACTCCCCCCTGCGCGCGGTGAGCGGGATCACCAAGCAGCTGCAGCACACCAAGCATCTGCAGCGCCCAGCGCAGCAGCGGCAGCAGCAGCAGCAGCAGCACCAGCAGCAGCAGCAGACCACCCAGCGGCGGCGGCAGCAGCAGCATACCCAACGCCGCGGCAGCAGCAGCCGCAGCAGACCACCCAGCGCCAGCAGCAGCAGCAGCAGCAGACGACCCGGCGCCTGCAGAGCACAGCGCAGCAGCGCCCAGCGCAGCAGCGGCAGCAGCAGCACCAGCAGCAGACCACCGGAAGCCCGGCTAGCTTTCGTTCACCCCCTCTGGCCTCAAGTCATCGAGTCATCGAGTCATCTATGGTTTACTGATACACCAATTGTATTGATGCAGAGCTTGAAGTGGGGCGATGCTGGAGCGGCGCAGCAATGCAGCATTGGCCAGCAAAACATGAGACAACCCTGTTGAAACTCAAAGAAAAGCAGCCGCATGATGACAAGACAGAAGGCCGAGTTATAAGGCGTCCGTCGGCGCCTGGTGACTGGACTCGGGAAGGTAAAATCACCTGAAAGCTGCACAGAGTGTGGCAATGTACGGCATGTTGGAAAGCATGTTTTTGCTTCATGCTTGCTTCTGCTCACTTGGTACTTGTCCACTGTTGCCACTTCTGGGTTGGTTGGCTGATCTTCAGCGCATGGCCAAGGAAGGTTGTCTCCCTGAAGATCTGATAATTAAGTGATAAGAGTGACGACAGCGACGACTGTTCTGGTATGCCTGCGTCACCTGGTATTTACGGTTGGTACTTTGTCATTTTTGGCACTGCACTGTACTAGATAATGGCAGCAGCGAAGCTAGCAAAGCCTTTTGTTTTTGCCATCGTCGCTTTGGCAACCTGGTGCTCGCATCCGCATGTATTGTTGCTGATCCATTGGAGGATCTTTCCAAGGATGTTTGCAGGTGATTGTCCGTGAAACCTCCAGGCTGCGAGGAGGAGGAGGAGGCGGAGGAGGAGGATCTAAAGCAGGGCATCATAAACAGTGCTCATCATTGGCTGCCTACTATACGAGATCCTGCAAGCACCAAGTCTATCATAGTCTAGCACATTATTGTAATTTATCGTATCACATTGATCCATATTGTACCATTTCAATCGTTGGATGATGGACGTGTCGCCCTCTGGCTGCCCTGCAAGCTGGCCTCGGCTCCAGAAAGCCCAGACACTCCGGACTGCAGAAACGGCCAGGGGTGGACTGGTCTTGCTGGGGTGGCAGTCTGGCAGTCCCATCAGTGGTGTTTGGGAAGGGGTCGTGGTGTGTCTGGGAGTTGGTACCGGCAGCTCCATCCCAGCTCGAAGCGTCGCCAGGCAGAGGGAGACCAGCTAGCTTGGGCGCATAAGGCGAGGTTGGGCGCTTGCGCTTCCGCGGGCGCGATGTGGAAGGTGGGCGAAAGGCTGGTTTTGTGGTGAAAATCAGTTGGGTGTTTGAAGAGACGAAGATGAAGACCATTTAGCAACTTAGCATGTGTCGTTCTTTTTATAGCGACAAATGTGTCCTTTCTTGTGCCATTTTGGCAATACATGGAGACAACCAAACCGCAAGCTAAATGACTATATTGATGTGACCCTGATGTGACCCCCTCGTATCGTTCACTGCCATGCAGTTTCACTATCGAAACCAAAACTGATGTGACACAAACTGTAGGACGTAGACGACATAGACCGTGGCAGGCACCATGGAGAATATAGAAGTGTATACACCATTATATACCTGTTTTTTTTGTCCAGATCTTTCAATGACTTTGTTTTCCCCTGCCCACTTACTCATAGATATTGAATGCTATTCCTACCCTGTCAATGGTTAGCCTTTAAATGGCTTTAACCTTTTGGGGGATTGGTTTCCCCACCAAAACAAACAGGTAGGAAACAAAACATATACTAACCTTTATGTTCCAGGGAAGCTGAGGGAGTCAAGATGATATGGCAAGTGATATTGCAGTTACAGTATTGCACATATTGCACCGAAAGCGTATTGCCAATACATGGTTGTTGGATCGGGATCAGTACTTCCAGCCACATTGAGTGCTGAGTTTCGGCCAATCATGCAGCCCATCCACAGCCACAGAGCTTTGCAAGTCGGGAAGATCGAGGAACACCCACCCGGTCACCGCCCACGGTGGCGGAAGCCCGTTGGGCCTTCGCCCCCACCGCGCCAGGCTGGTGCCAACTCCGCCATGGTCCTTGGCACGGCCGAGGGCTTTGTCTTGCGGGTCTCCCTGGGGCAGGACCCAGTGGAGCGAACGACGCGCACGTGGTGAATCGGTGGAAAGATTCACCTGTTCGATCCACAACGAGTGGCTGGGTGGTGGCTTTCAAATTTATATATGTATGTATGTATATATATATATGTGTTTTTGACAGATACTTTTGAGTCAGTTCTTTCTAGGTTCTCTACTTGAGATATCTTGAGATGATTGATCCCACTGACACAGATCTTTCAAGTGAGTTAAACACCAACACCACCAACCAGATAGTGCTCAAGAGATCTCAAAAGATAGCGTTTTTAACAGTGGCCGTCCATACGTGGTGACGTGACCACGCGCGTTCTCAACACAAAAGAAATGAGCAACTGCGGGTTAAAGACATGTGAGAGGTGAGATATGATTGAGATCATAGGTGTCAGGTGTGCTTAGATGAGTCATTTCACAGTGGGGATGCTTGTTTTTTTTCCCTATCTACCGCAGTGTACACCCTTTTTCTTCTGGCCTAGCGTCTAGCGCATCCACCCCCATCTTAACGCTTGTAATCATATGTTTTTCTGGATCTGTGTGATGTCATGCCGTATATACCCTTCAACTCCCCTGGGCGCTTGGAGGACTACACGGGTCACCGGTCGCATTGATACGACGCGACCGGTGGAACAGGACTGGCACCTCAGCACACCCAAGGGGCGCGGGCGCCGAGAGAGAGCGCCGCTCTCGGGTCGTGCTGCGAACCAATCGAGTCGATGAGGAACAACCGCCAGTCTCCCTCCACTGTTTGAGCTATATGTGGAAGCACGATAACGAACCTCCAGTGTTCTGCAGTGTCCAGTGATGTCCAGTGTGTTTGGTGCTGGCTCCAGTGACGCTATCTGTGCCATGTGGTCACGGTTTGGATTCTACAAGTGGTGTTGCTGAAAAAGGGTTGTGGAAAAAAAGAAACCACACACATTCCTGGGGTGTCCATGAGAAGAAATCCATATCAGCAAGATCTTTGATCCACGTCCAACTCTCAGATAGATGGGTTTGTTTCATCCGCCATCCCCACGGTGATCCGCCTGTTTCACCGCGGTGATTGGGCTGAGTTACGGTTTGGATCGGAGGGTGGTTTATATGGGTCGAAAACACCCTTCAAACGTGAAGCTTTCAAAATGAGGACCCTTAGTCAAGACAAGGGTGTTTAGACATGTAGACATCTAATGTGGGGAAATGATGAATCAAGATGTAATGAATCTAAAGGTAGCCCTCTAATGTAGACATCTAATGAGGGGAAGTCATGTAGACATCTATTAAGGATGTTGGCCCCATGTTCTTGTCCGAACTGGGCCCGATGCCAGGGGCGTTTGTTTTCGCCTCGCCTCGGGCCGGGTGGGCGTGGGCGGTTTTCATGTCCGGTGGCAGCATTTCTGCTTGGTGCCATGCAAGAACAGTTAGAAGCACAATGAAGCAAAGCATTAACATCATCCAGGTCTAACGAGCAGGGCCAATGGCCACTTGTCTCAGACAAAGGTGGCTTTGGCATGCTTTGGCAAAATAGAAGTTTAACGAACATCCAGGTTTTTGGGGAAGTCGATCAAGTCAGGTTGATCAGATCTAATTACTGTACATTTAATTACATTCTTCGAACCCAAACCTTCGAGAAGGAGGTATTAGTTTTTGCAGGTATTTAAGGCACAAGAGGATCAGTTCACGACAGTGACTGAAGGAGCTTTGTGTTACGAAGCCACCAGGTCATTTTTCTTGAGTGTCTCCGGAGGGTTGCATCAGTTCAAGGAGGCCCAACACTGACAGAAACATCACTACAGTTTCCGTTGCTTCGCTGCCCCCATCTCCTGAACCGAGCAGCTCGCAGCTCGCGGCTCGCACACCCAGCAGTTCGCCTGGGCCACAGAGCGTAGTCCAAAGCGACCGTCTTCCATGTTTGCTCTGTGGTCCCAGAGCTTCTTGCCAGCACTGCCACTGCCGCGTCCACCGGTCCTTTCATTGTATGCCAGGACCGGACGGAGCGGCTCGAAGAGAGTCGCCCTTTCATCCGCATGGTGAGGAAGAGACGGTCAACTGTCCTTTCCCATTCCATGGGCCAAACTGAACCTGAAGCAATCAGCGGCATGTTTGGTTGCAAGTGGACTTACGAACAAAGCGGAGGCCGATACGGTCCATTTGACTGACATATGACCAGATCGAAGAAACTTTGGCATGCGTGTGAAATGCCCAACAGAAGAGGACATCCACCAATCTTAAGTAGTCTAACGCCAGCCGAAATTTGTAAGATGGGATCGTCCACCTGCCAGATGAACCGTACCTTTGCGGTTTTCCACCCAAGCAGCAAGCAACATGTCCATTTCAATGGGAAGATAGGGGTGAGCCGGGCCAAGCCCATTTAAGAACCCACATCATACATCATACCACATCATACTGTTGTCATTTCTCCTTCATCACTTGGTTTGACCTTACCAAGAGGGTTTCAGGGATTCCAACCCCTTCGAGACGCTCACCCACCAAGAATTGTCGTTTCTTCACCAGACTTAGAACATCTTGGAGCAAATTTGGGGTGACCCTGGATGACTCCTCACTTCCTATGACACAACACACACTTTATCATGTTACATTTACAATCATTTGCATCATTTTACTGCCTTTTCCAAGCTTCACCATGCACTTCAGTCTGCCGAACCCCCGGCCCCTTCCCCTCCCCCCAGTGTCACAAACTCACAAGTTCACACACGTGTTCACCCTGACGCCGCGCCGGTCGCACCGCACAGCGACATCAGCGACATTCGCCGCCAGGAGCCCGCCGGCACCGCGCCGTGGCCGCGGCCGCCGCTCCGGGTCGGCGGTTCGGGCCATCCCCGGGGATGCGGCCAACCGCGTGCGGCGATTGAAAGCCTTGGGCCCCGAACGAGTCAAGCAGGAGGAGGAAGAGAAGCGACAACAGGTGCAGAGTGGTAGAGGGTGGTGTGGGTTTTGGAGGTCCCTGTCAGGCCCCACTGCCTTTTGGAGTTTGGTGTGTGTTTTTGTAAAGCCCGGTTTGTTATGCATAGCAACAAGTTTCACACAATGACACTGTGGGTTGAAGACTGAAGTGTGAGCCAGCGGATCGTTGGGTTCATCGGTGGGTTGAATGGTTTGACATTGTCGGTGGACGATTCTTGGATGTGTTGGATCATGAGTTCTGGTTCCAGCCGGTTCTAGCGTATTCTATAGGATTCTATGGTCCCTGAGTTAGTTTTGGCATATTGTATGTTGCTGTAGCGCTGTAGATCTTCCAACCTGAAACAACTACGTAGTTGGAATTGGATCTCTCATGATTTTTCCATCCCGTCTTTTGCCTGAGCCTTGTGGCTTCAGCAGCTACCCTGGCTGCTAAGGAGGCCCCCGCCAATCCGTTGGGTTTTGTGTTTGGTCTTTGTGGAGTCCCCTTGTATTGAACGACAGACATCGGGCAGAAGCAACATGAGGGTAAAGGGAATGTGCAGTAAGATCTGCAGCAAGGTAGAAGGATGAACACGCATGTTCCATCATGCTCCTATCGTTGGAGAGACTTTGTGTTTTGCAACAATTTGCACAGGTTTTTCACAGCTGCTGTAAAACTTATGCCACGGACCAATAGGCTGCAGGCCACCACACAAATGTATACCTTGAGCCCCTGAAGTAACTGGTTTTTGAGTGAATCCCCAAAAACTTACTCCGTCTCTCGAGGGTACAGGTACCAAATGTGATCAACCGCTCACCACGTTGGGACTGCAGGCCTCCGTCGAGCCCCTCACCGCCGTGCGCGCGGAGCAGCTGGACGCGCTGGGAGTGGCGCTACTGGCACAAGGGAGGCCTCAGGAGGCGGAGGAGGCCGGAGGTTGGGAAGTGACCGGGCTATCATGCGAAGGGACCGGGCCAAAACATCCAAAGAATTGGCTAGGTTATAATGGATCACCAATATAAATGTCATGGGTGATCCTCCATATATAAAGAGACTGGCCTGGCTGCCCACAAGAGGAAATCGATCAACCAGCGACTTTAGGTGCCAGCGGTGTTTTTTTTCACGGTATGTAATACAGGCGATGCCAGGAATAGGCCGATGTTTTGACCGCACATGTCATGATGTGTTTCCCTGTAAAAAGGGAGGCCTACTGCCTCAAAAGGCGTGGGCCACCTGCCCAAGCACCTGCCGTTCGCCGGTGGGTGGAGAAACCCCAAGAACTGTGGAAATGTTCAGGTCACCGGAAGGGCCTGATGTGTTCCGTCGGGATCTCCGGCTCTGGATGGATCCATCGTCGTAGTCATCAGAGCGAAGAGCGACTCCTCCGCTCCACCCGACCGCTGTTGGGTAAGCTCTTCTGAGGCGTCCTCAACTAAAAACATCCTTAAAACGACCTACGAAAAACATAGAAACTGGTTCCTTTGTACTGAGATATTGACCCTTAAGTGAGAAGGAACTTGCCGAGTGAATATATGAGCAACCACTTTTAAGTCTACGGCAGTGTCTATATGGCATACTATTTGTTTGTCCAACGTCAGTATTCGCTGGTGAACGAGATACGACCTCCACAGAAACCAGATACTTTGATGACAAGTTAGTTATTGAAAGTAGTCTGCACGAGATACTGTGACATGACCTCCTACCTACGTACTCATATTAGCAGTCTAAACAAGATAGGGACCCCACATAATAGATAGTGATAGTGTATGTGAGTTTCGTAATGAATCATGAATAAATGCCACCGCTCAAGTAGGCCGGACTCATGTATGTAATATAGTCAGTGGCATCCCTGGGATCCACTGGGCCACTGGGTTGCTTTGAACGCACTGACTCCGTCCAACTCGTTGGACGAACGCAACACGACGTCGGTTCGGCGACGAGTTCGTGCACTTGTTCAGTGACTTGGTAGCGAGCATGAGCAAGGCATGAACACAACATGAGCAATGAACACAGATGAACACAGCATACATGATGTGAGTGATTGTTGGTGGTTTGGTGGAGTGAAGCAGCCAAGCAATCAATACAGTCTTCGCCACTCTTTGCAACCAATCCTCCCACACGTCTAAAAGTCCTGACGCCGTCCGCATGAGGCCTTTCGACAATCGCTGCAGCTGGCAAGTCTGGTGGATGCGGAGTGGGCAGCCAACAACCTGGCTGTGTCTTTGAAAGCTCAGGGCAGCGAACGCTACGGCCACTGGAGCCTGCATATGAGTGCTCAACCATGCATGTGGACAGGGGGAGACAGTGACAGGCGAGGTCCATGCCAATGCATTTCTGGATGTTGTCAGTGGGCTAACCAAACGGCTTTTTGAAGGGTGTTCGTCATTGCGCTTTTTCTTCACTGACCCGTGTACCGGCTTTCCTTTGATGCTTCAGGGCTCATCAATGTGAACTTGCCGGAACTGTTGTGAGCAATTGGTGGATAAATCAGTAGTCAGATGTCCTCAGTTTGCCTAACTTTGATTACCAGGACCCACCAAGGATGGGTAGGTAGACGCCCTGTAATAGCCCAGTGTCAATTAATGTAGATGTTGAATAGAGAACCCTCTAGTGGTTGCCCAAATGCTGTTCAACGATTTCACTCGGAACCACACCACGGAGCAGCCGAACTCGCCCGCACGCAGCGACGGCTGCTCCTTCACTCGAGAGTCAGGTGAAGCCGAAGAGTTGTATCGGAGCACCTTGAAGAAGCGGAGAGAGCCTTGGCCGAAGCCGGGGAGGCGGAGAACCGACCGGGAGGTTTTTGTCATGCAGAAAGACACCGGTTTTTTCCGGGTCCCAGCCAAAGCCCTCTTCCGCGCTTCCCCCGACCCCCTTTGGGCCTTTCCAACGGAGCAGCCGTTGGAGTTGGGTGATGGTGATGTTTGGGTGGTGTTGGACACTTTGGCCAGGATCCTCATAGATTTGCTGAGCAAAGGCCGAACACCTTCCAGGAAATTGGGCTTTAGCGCAATGTTCCCACCCCCCACCCCAACCTCTTCAGATTTCCAATTGGCTTCAGCCTCCCCGGAACCCGCACCTCTCCACCCGAACGGGTGCACCGAAGGAGCGGCTCCGGGACACGCGGAGCCCGGAGATCTTGACGAGTCTGAACAACCTGGCGGTGCTGTTGAAAGCGGAAGGTGCGAGGCGTTTCTTCTGACCTGAGCCGCCCCTTCCGATGACACCAGGGGACCGGGCCTGATTACCAGGGAAAAATTTCATCAGAGCGCGATCAGCGCGTGAGGGAGCTGGTACCTCAAGGTCCATGAAGTTGTCCATCTTGACAATGTGCTCTCTATGAAATGATCTTCAGGGGTTACGATGAATTTCGTTGGTGCCTGATTTGGCCTGGCTTGGCTAAACATTCTATAGAGGCCACTGTGTGTGCACTGATGTGTTTTTTTGCTCTAAAGACCCACCCACCCATTCTATAGCACCTCTTCTCTGAGCACCTTGCATGTTCTAAAGATTTTGTAGAAGCCACGCGTGTGATATCTGTAACATGCCTTGTCCAAGGAATGAAACATCATGCTGATTAGCTAAGTATAAGAATTCCCGGCAAGAGAACCTCCATGGCACCTGGCCAGGTCAGTTGCCCGAAGCCGAGGAGCTCTACCGGCAGGCGCTCAGTGGCCGGCGCCGGGCACTGGGCCTCTTGGCGTGCGAGGTCAACCTTCCTTTCCAAAGTAGCATGGAGCTACAGAGAGTTACCTCCATATAGGGAGCCTTGGTAGATCTTAGGCTCTTAGGGAGTTTCTGAAGCACTTGGCTAGAAGATAAGAGTTCAGTCGAAAAAAAATAACATCAAACAACAGTGAAACAGAAAGGCATCGTTGGCATGGGATCTCGTGAACCATCGCAGGGTGTGGTCCTGAATTCTGAAGAATTTATTTAAATGGGGAATGCTTTTTCCGGGTGAAACGATGCACGATCACCGGGAGGAGTTCGGGCCTTGTCATCATGACATGTCTTTTCGGGGCCTTTTGGCGGAGTTGCTGCTACGACGATCGTCTTGGGGAGTGAGAGGATTGGGCAAACGAACATGTGAGCAATGCTGGGCAAGCTGGGCTCTGGAAATTACATGCTGGGAAAATGCAGACAACACCTTAAAGAATAGTTAAGGAGGAGCAAGGACGCTACTAGGGGCTCCCGGCATCGCTACCAGTAGCATTCTTACTAGGAGCAAGAACAAGTCCAGCCATGTCACGAGTCCAAGAGTCCGTGAAGATGACTTTGTTGGCGTGCAGTCCATGTCCTGCATACAGTCGTTCCCATCTCACGTTGTTGGACCTGAGACGTAAGAAGAGAAGCACTGCTGAGTTCACTGCCGGGGTCCAGCAGTCCATGCTATGACCTCCTCATCCCAGCGGTTCACTCTTCACCCGTCCACTCTCCTTGCGGACCGACTTGTCACGCCTTGGAGATGCAAGGAATGTAAACCCTAAGGGAGCACAAAAATAGCGAAAACCAACTTGGTTGGTTAGTCCGGGTTGTTTGCAAACACTGAGGCGATTTGCATCCTGACACCCTCACGTGCCTTGCCAGCAAAAGGGGATGAGATCTGACATGCGTTCAAGTCCAAATTCAACCACCACCACCACCACGACTACTACTACGACCTCGACTACGACTACTACGACTACGACTACCACTACGACTACGACTACGACGACTACTACTACTACCACCACCACTACTACTACTACTACTACTACCACCTGCCACTTTTAAGTCCCCAAAAGCATCCAAAAGCCACCATTTCGGAGACCTCTGTAGCTGTAGCAACTGACTGGCCGCACCCCACGGACAGCGGATCCTCTCAGAATGACGCCCTGGGATCCTGGCAGAAGAATGTAGACAGGAGAGTAGGGTAAAACACGGTTGAACATGATTCAAATTCTTCGATTTGGATCAACTTGTTCGTTTGCAAACACCAACCCGACCAACCCTCACTGAATGCGTCATATCCGCTCAAAGCGCGTGGAGGACCTTCCCCGAGACACACTCTGACAATTGTATTCAGTTACACTCAGTTCCCAGGTCGAAAATGGTGAGGGAACGGTATGGCGAGAAAGTCAGTTCAATTGAATGTTGAACAAGTTGTTGGTGCGTGACTGCAGAGCTCAGCGGTGGCGAACGAGCGGTGCAACTCAGCGGCAGAAATTAGGGTTTTGGGGAAGTATCATGCAAGAACCATGGAAGCAAAAAGTGGAAAAGTGGAGTAACAGCTTGGTCAAAGGT